TCTGTTATACTCTGGCCAACATATTTCCATGGAAATAAAATAATGGAATCTGACCCAAACGTCAAACCCTGATATGTCTTGGAATTTAACAAAGGATGGAGCAGATGCAGTGGAGGGAAGAACACGCAGGAAGCTTTCTTCCGGCAGCTCACCCCAGAAGCTGCCTTCCTGCATTTCATGGAGATGGTAGACACCAGTGCTCTCCATGTGCACGGGGTTCACACCGGAAAAATCATCCAGGCCAGAGAGAGGCCGCTCACAGCCGGCATGCAACATTCCCCATCCACTGGCCTTCAAACCTGCTGAAGCGGACATTTCAGAAAGGAAATAGAGCAGAGCCAAATTCCCCAGTCATGTGAAAACGCAGAGGGAGAGGCTCCAGCCCTAGAGGAGCCTCACCCTGGCTGCTGTCTGGCACCTGCTGCTGGCCTGCCACCGCACGGCTCTCAGCTTCTGGACCGGGCTTCCTCAGGCTGCAGGCTGCTCCCCAGACTGGGCTGACCCCCTTCCCAGCAAAGCCCAGGAAGTTCCAGCAAGTTCTTGTTGTCTGCCTAGCAGACCTGAGTCTGAGTCACGTTTGAGGGTTCCTTGTGCGCGGGGAATGGGACGGCGGGGAGGGGGCGTTCTAATGTCTGTGCTTTCAAGTAGGAAAGATAATAATGAAATAGCTAACATTTAGCCTGTAGTCCCAGCTACTCAGGAGGCTGAGGCAGGAGGCGCACTTGGGCCCAGGAGTTCAAGCTGCAGTGAGCTTTGATCATGCCACTGCCCAGTAGCCCTGGTGACAAAGAGAGATCCTGTCTCTAATAAAAAAAAAAAAAGAAAGAAAAGAGCTCACATTTACAGATAACTTACTAAGCGTCAGGCACTCATGTACATTGAAAACATTTAATTCACTTGAGACAGGTACTCTTACCAGCATTTTACTAGTGAGGAAACTGAGGCTGATTTCTCCTTTAACAACAAACAGGCTGGGTGTAGTGGCTCATGCCCGTAATCCCAGCATTTTGGGAGGCTCAGGTGGGAGCATTGTGTGAGGCTGGGAGTTTGAGACCAGCTTGGGCAACATAGTGAGACCCCCATCGCTACAAAAATATTAAACAATTAGCCAGGTGTGGTGGCACATGCCAGTGGTGCCAGCTATTCAGGAGGCCGTGGTGGGAGGTTCTCTTGAGCCTAGGAGTTTAAGGCTGCAGTGAACCATGATTGCACCACCGCACTCCAGCCTGGGCAACAGGGCAAGACTCCGTCTCAAAAAAACCAAAAGCAAAACCTTCGCAGGTAAACGCTGGAGTGGGTGTGGCTCTTTGAGCTCAGAATGCCTTCTATTACTATCATCTGATAAGGCCTGGTAAGAATACATTCCTTCTTGGAATGTGTCTTCTGTGGAAATAAGACACAAAAGGATGGAGATGTCAGCTTCCAAGAGCGCTGAGGGCCGAATTCTGAAAGCAAATGTCACAGCATTCATGATGCTCAGACAGACCAGCAGCCGAGGTGGCAGCGGCTCCCTCCCTCCCCTTCCTTTCCCCGCAGGCCTGAGAGTTGGGAAGCGCACCCTCCCCCCTGAGAGGCTTTCTCAGCGGCTGCTGCCTGGGAGAGTGCTGGGGTTTGGGCTGTTTTAGTCTCCAAGGGGATGGGTGATTTATATCCTTTTATTCAGCAAACAGCTTTGTACAGAACGAATGCCACTTGCTAAATGTCACCAGGCAGGGACAGGGGAGCCGCACAGAATCCCAGTGAAGCCTTCCAGGCCTGGGCAAAATGGCACCTGGTGACTTGGTTAGTGTGTGTGTTTTCTCTGGCGGGAGTAAGGAAGAGACAGTGATTCTGAAATCCAGACTGGCTGGCCAGAGTGGCAGGGAAACGCAGAGATTCCAGCGCCCACCTCCGCTGCCAGTACCTGCCACTTCCTGCTTGTCCATCTGCTCCCTGCCCTTTGCAGGAGAGGGTCCTCTCCACCTCGGAGAAAAGCGAGGCAGTCGGTGACCTATGGACTTTGGGGAGTGGCTCCTTTCTGTGGCACTGAGTCAGCATGTCAGGGCCTCTGGGCCCAGGCCTGCATGGCTACACAGTCAAGCATGAGGGATTGCGGCTTTCATCAGGGCACATCAGGGCTCAGCTCTGCACTCAACCCGGCCCAAGCCAGGGTTCTGGCTGGAGGCCCCTTGGTCTTCCCACTCTCTTTTCCTTTTTTTTTTTTTTTGAGACGGAGTCTCGCTCTGTCGCCCAGGCTGGACTGCAGTGGCCGGATCTCAGCTCACTGCAAGCTCCACCTCCCAGGTTCATGCCATTCTCCTGCCTCAGCCTTCCGAGTAGCTGGGACTACAGGCGCCCGTCACCTTGCCCGGCTAGTTTTTTGTATTTTTTTTTAGTGGAGACGGGGTTTCACCGTGTTAGCCAGGATGGTCTCGATCTCCTGACCTCGTGATCCGCCCGTCTCGGCCTCCCAAAGTGCTGGGATTACAGGCTTGAGCCACCGCGCCCGGCCCCTCACTCTCTTTTCATGCTCCTCCTCCTCACCTCTCCCCATGCACACCTAGGTCTGTAAGTTCCCTGAGACTGTGAGCCATGCTGCTTCACACACACACACACACACACACACACACACGGGTGCCCAGCGTGGCCCCATTCTCAACACACAACAAATAAGTGCTTGATGTTTGTTGAATGAATAATAAACGGCCAACTCATTCCCCCATGAGCTCTGGCACCTCAGCACTGCCCTGGGGCCTTCGGGCTGCTCTGGCAGGATGCCAAAGCATGCGTCAGTGTTTAGGGCAGTGCTACCAAGGCACTAAGAGATGGGAAAGGTGGTAGAGTCTCAGGACTTGGAGAAACCTTTGCAATCACATTGCCCAACCCTCTCATTTTACAGATGAGGACACCGAGGCCCAGAGAGGTGACCTGTCAAAGCCACACAGCACAGAGGAGCAGAGCCTGGGTCCAGCTATTTCTCCGATCTCACCACCCTGCCTCTTCTCACTGGAAGAGTGTACCAAGGCGGGAGTCTGGCCCCTACCCATCCCGAGCCTGATCCCTGCCTAAGGGGGTTAGCCCAGCCCCCAGCCCGGCTCCTCTCCTCAGCACAGGCTGCAGCCACTGCTCCAGGCCTCCAGCCCACAGCCCACACACCCAGTCTTCCAGGGAGGAGGGCAATTCGTTTTCACTCTGCCACTCAGCACCACCTGGGCTGCAGGAAAACACGGCGTTCCCCGCACTCCAGATCAATGTGGGCCTCGCAGGTTAGAATTTAGGGCACAGACCACATGGAGACTGGGAAAGACAGAAGGAAACAGACAATAGTCAGGGCCTGTGGGTGAAGCAGAGTCACTCCTGCCCCCAGAGCAGAGACACACAGGAGGGGTTCCTGGGGCGACGGGGCCAGCACCTCACCCTGGCTTGGGGAGGAATGGACTGGGACAACAGCGCATGAAAGCCAGAGAGCTGAGCCGTCTAGGGGACACAGAAAAGGAAGGGTGTGAGGAAATGCCGTCTTTCCCCTTCTGCAACCTAGGTGTATCCTGGATCCCAGAATCACCTCCATGGGCCCCCACAGCAGTGCTGGGGAGAGTAAGGGAAGCCTGAGGGAGAAGAGAAAGGAGGTGAGAGGGAGACACTGCCTAGCATTGGCTCTCTTTCCTCTTTGAGGCCCGCAGAGGGTCTCCACCAGCAGCTCCAGGAGGGATGATAAATTGTCAAAAGCCACCAAGAGTCAGGGCAGGAGCTCAGTTCTGCCCAGCTGAGGGCGGTACAGGGAGTTCAAGGTCCCTGAGCGGATCCCAGCCCTCACTCACTGAACTCAGTCAGATAACCACCACATCAGTGGATTTAGAAACGTGACAGGGATTTCAGAGGGCAATGGGTCCAGCCCTTACAACCCAGCACCGCTCTGCAGGCAAGGAAACACAGGCCCAGAGGACAGGGGCTTCTTCACGTGGGCACACGGCACCAAGACAGCTCCATGAATAGAAGCTAAATCTCCGAACTCCCACTCCAGGGGTGCTGACGACTGGGTGGGTGACTCCCTCAGCGTCCAAACCCTCTCTGGCAGTCCCTTGCTGCTCCAGTGACCAGTACGAAAGGGAGAACTCCTCCCAGGGCCTCCGGGGAGACACTTCTGCCGACCATCCCCAAGGAGAAAGAGGAGAGATAAATGGGGGAGGGTCCCTAAGAATGGTGACCTTCAAGGAGGAGGCCAACCTAGGGGACTAGTGGAAGCCAGAAAGAGCAGGGGGGCATGGCAGGGGCTGCAGCCGACGTCCCAGGGAAGGAGTAGCTGCAAGGCCCTGCCCCTCAGCCTCAGAGGAGCGCCAGCCCTGCCCTGCCATTCTGGACAAGGTGTGAGTGTGAAGAGACTCTTGCCTGTCCGCACTATCAAGGCTGAGCGGGGGCAAAGGCAGCCCCCTTGGGGTCCCCACCCTGTCACTGGACTTTAAAACCATTTTCTTTGGTTTTAAACAAACAGTTTTTCTTTGGTCATGATTTTGTCGGTTGACTTATCTTTATGGAATTGTAGTATTTTCCTGCTCTAAAACCCTCAGTCTAACCCCTTCTTCTTTCTGCCTCACATTTTTGCCTCCAGCGATATGGGAATGAACCTTGGAGAATGGGTGGGTCCTGGGGGAGGGGGGCTGAGGGGCTCTTCACCAGGCAGAGATGAACCCCAGTGCTGACACAGATCCTTTCCTTTTCCTGGTTTCTCCTGCCCTGGAGGGTGGCACACAGAAAGGGCTCTTTGTCTCTTTGGACCGTTTCTGTATCCCTGGTGCCTCAAATGGAGCCTGGCCTGGAGCGAACTCCATCAATGACTCTGACGGGAGACAGGGCTCCGGCCCACTGGGGTGACGGGCTAAAGAGGAGATTCTGGTTCCTGTGGACAATCTGGAAGCTGGAAGCTGTTAGAACTGGAGCGAGGATTTCACCAGGGAGCTCACGGAGACAGCCCGGGCAGGTGGGGTGTGGGAAGGAGTGGGGGAGCCCGGAGCGCAGGGACTCACTCCAGCACGTCGCGGTTGAACTGCTTCTTGCTGTTGCCCAGGAACTCGCCAATCATCTGGCGGCTGAGGCCCTTTCGCTGGAGGAGGAAATGGGCCACACCAATGGGGGTGTCTGGGATGAAGCCGCGGGAGATCAGGAACTGGATGCCCTTGTCCGGGTTTCTGGAGGTGGGGAGAGTGGGGAGAAGCAGTAGAGAGAGAGCTGAAGCCATCCATGACTCTTTCCTCCCTGTCTTCCACCCATGGAAGTGCCCAGAGGTTCCTTGGAAATCCAGTTCCCCATGGAAGCATCTCTAACCAGAGCCTCAACCCACTGAATGTCCTCACGCAGGGGATGGTGTGTGACCAGGAGGAGGACAGGGGAGGTCTGCAAACAAAGCGAATTCCAGAGCAGGTGGAGGAGAAGGACCCTTCTCTGTCCCTGCCTCCTGGGTCTTACTCCAGGCCTGCCCTTCCCCCTACCCATATCCTGTTGTCAATATGCAGGTCCCCACCGCCGATGCCCCAACCTGGAGACAGGGTGGGAGAAACAGAGGTGGGACCTCCGCCACACCCCTCTTTCCTTTGCAAGCTTTGAAGCCATGCTCCTGCCTGAGCTATTTCTCACAGGTCCAGGAGGAGGTAAGTGCAGAAACACAAGGTAAGCACTCAGAACCTTCCATAGCATTTCAACATTTCCGGGACTACCGGGCTGTTTGTCCTAGCAACTCATTTTTATTGTATTTTACAAAAGTATTAGCCCACAATGTATTTTCAGAAAGGTGTGGGGGAACAAAACTGGTCCTTCGCTATGGGTAGTTTAAGAATTACTGCCTTGGGGGAGACGAGTATCTGTGTGAGTTTTCATGTGCGTGAAGAAGTGACACTGTGGAAGTGGGGGTGGTTTAGCATCAGATCCGCCTTCCCCTAGGTCTGCCGAGTACTAGCTCTTTCATCGTGGGCAACTCGCCTTACTGGTGTGAGCCGGCTTCCTTTTCTGTAAAACAGCACCGTAGCACCTCTGTGTAGATACTGCTGGGAGGATTATAGATGCTTTATGTAAGGTGAACTATTAACAGTGGCTACTTCCTCTAGAATAGAGACCTCTTGAGGCCAGGGGATATGTCTTACTCCCCTCTGTGGTCACAGTGCCTGGCACCCGATAAATAACAGCCAAATGAATGGATGAACATGCATTAGGGCCAGAGAGAGACGCTCTTGGCTTGCGGTTATGAAGGGGCGAGTGGAGGATGGAGGCGAGTGCCTCATGGACTTGACATTTCCATGGGAGGGGCAGGTGTGCTTCCTTTTCTCTGCTTGGGACTGGCTGTATACATTCCGCGCAGGACCAGTCCGGGTCTCATCGGGGTCTCTGAGCTGTGGCAGTCGGTCATTTCTCCCCTGTTCTCTTTCTACTCTGCCTCTGCCTGCTTCACTCTCTCTTCCTGGTAGTCCTCCCCTCTCCTGCTGTCTGCCGAATTCTTTACAAGGCGCCTCTCCTCCCTCCCCCACCCAGCCCCGCATTTCATCAACCTGGGAGCTAATGCGTTTTCCCTGGCTTCATATTCCACCCGAATGATTGCTGCTTAATCCTCAAACCGCCTGGACTGTTATTTACTAAATACTGTCTTTTCTTTCACATTCTCTTACTTTTCAAACCCTAGCTTCATCTTAAACTGTAACAGTTGTGAAAGCATGTGTTTGATGTGTTATTTTTTCCCTTTAATCTCTCTTAAAATAAACTCAGAATGATTAAAAATAAAATGCGTACTTCCTAAACATGACCCCAGGGATCAGGCAAGGCACAGATGCGCCTGGAGGGCCCTGGGACGACAGGGGCAGTCACCTGGTGCCCTGCTTGGTGGAGGGGAGGTGTCCCCCCTCCTTTCCTTCCCTCCCTCCCAGAACCTCCAGGACTCCGGGCTGGGGGCCAGGGCTGACTTACATGTTGAACAGGTTGAGGCCGATGCGGTAGAGCCGCTTGCGCAGGGTGTCGGTGGAGAGGGTGGGCGACTTGCAGCTGGCGGGGTTCTCGCAGTGGTAGCGCGGCAGGCTCAGGATCATGGCCTGCAGGGCGTCCTTGGAGGCGGAGGCCGACACCTCCGAGCCTGACTTGGCGGACTTGGTGGACGTGCTGCTGCTGCTCAGCTGCTCCAGGTCGCCTGCCTCAGCCTCGGCCCCTTTCCCCAGGTCTGCTGCCTCCTCCTCCTCCTCCTCCTCCTCTGCTTTGGCTGCTGCGGCTTCATCCACCGCCCCCCCAGCCCCAGCCTCGGTGCATGAGTCCTCCGCGGACGCGTCCCCCCGGCCCACAGCGGGGGCTTCCGGAGCCTCCTGCCCGGGGGTCCCGCCCTGCTCGGCTTTGCCCGCCGCGGGCTCCGCTGTGGCCTGGGCCGTCTGAGCGCCCAGGCAGTTGGCCACCGACAGAGCCGTGGCGGAGGAGACGGATATGTTCTGGTGGGCGATCTGCACCGTGACGTCCCGGAAAGCCATCATGAGGGTGCCGCTGTGGGGGGGCAGGCCGGGGGTCTCCGCGGCCTCATCCCCCGGCCCGGGGCCTGCGCTCTCCGGCTCCCGCATCTCGGCCTCCAGGCCTGGGGGCCCCGCGGCCGCCTGCAGGGCCTGGTGGAGCTGGTACGCGCCGGTCTCCTGCAGGGAGCACATGGTCTTGAGGCTCCAGGTGCTGAGCGCGTCGTCGATGGACTTGGCCAGGGACTGCACCTGCTCGGTGAAGGAGTCCTCCAGCTCGGTGAGGGTGCCCGCGAAGGTGGGCGGCAGGGAGGGCGCGCGCACCAGCGGCAGCCCCATGAGGCCGTAGCCCTCCATGAGCGCTTTCTCGGCCGCCAGGCTCTCGGCCGCGGGTGCCCGCACCTTGCGCAGGGAGATCCGCCGCGGCAGGCGGCTCTCCAGAAGCGAGTTGCGGATTTTCTCAAAGTTCTTGCTGAGCTGGTATTGGCGGAAGGCGGTTTGGATGGTGCAAGCGGCGCGCCGGGACACCAGGTGACCCCCGTACTTATGTTCTAGCATTTCAATCTGCAAGGACAAGACAGAGAGGAGGAAGGACTCAGAGGGGAAAGGTGGTCAGCCCCTCTGAGGGGTGGTGGAGTCACCCGGCCGAACTTGGGTGGGCCCAGGAATGGACAGTGGGGGGCTCCTGGGCAGCTCAAGTCTGAACCGCCTAGCATGTCACGGCCACACGGCAGGACTCCTAGAGGTGTAGGATGGAGGGGTCCGTTCTAGGGACTGGTAATGTCCCAAGGGCAAGGAGGGAGGTGCTGTGTATCGTGGACAGATTTTGATGCTGTGGCGGGTATTACAAAATGCTGATGGACGGGCACAGTAGCTCAGGCCTGCAGTCCTAGCATCTTGGGAGGCTAAGGAGAGAAGATTGAGATTAGGAGTTTGAGACCAGGCTGGGCAACACAGCTAGACCTTGTCTTTCTCTAAAACAAACGAACAAACAAACAAGCAAAAAAACATAAAATAAAATTAACTGGGTGTCCTGGTGTGCGCCTGTGGTCTTCAGCTACTGGGAAGGCTGAGGTAGGAGGACTGCTTGAGCCCAAGGAGTTGGAGGTTACAGTGAGCTATGACTGTACCACAGCACTCCAGCCTGGGCAAAAAAGTGAGACTTTGTGTCTGTTTTTTTTTTAAGTTCATGTTGCACACAGAAGTATTTATGGGTAAAATGCATGACACCTTGAATATGTGTTAAAATACTCTGTCAAAAATGTGGAAGAATTAGAGTAGATGACACAATATTAATACTAATAAATATTAATAAAATGGTTACAGCTGGATGATAGCTGGGGGGCGTTCATAACACTGTTGTTTCTACTTTTGTGCACACTTTAAAAATAATAAACAACGAAAAACAGAAATGCTAAAAACACCTCACAGCTCCTCGTGTTTCCCCACTCCTCCTCCCCAGCAGCCATGTCTCTGTGTTGGTTTTTTTCCCTGGGAACATCAGAAGGGTCGGGATTTGGGTTGGACCATCTGTGTGTTCCCAGGACATAGTCAGTTGCTCAGTAAATGTGGCTTTGCTAAAAAGTTGAGTCGGTGTCTCATGAAGGGGGGTCCCTCCAGGCCACCATTACCAAGAGTTCCCCAATTTGAGTCACCTCTGTTCTTATGGTGGGAGCTGTCCAACCAGGCAGGGCTGGGTGGGGGTGGCTCGGGAGCATGGCACCTCACCTTGGCAGATCTGATCCCAGGAAAACTTCTGTCAGGGGGCCAGTGTGCCTCCCCCCGGCTCTGTCCTCCTGTCCACGGGCTTTCTCCTCTCAGGTTGCTACACTCTCACTTTTCCTCCCTATTGAAACTTCTCAGGAAAGGACAGGGAAGGTATGACTGAGCCACGCCCCCAGAGGCTTCTGCCTGTCAGTGAGGGACAAGGCCTGTGAGAAGGTGATGGGCTTAAATGGTGGCATCCTAGACTCTGATCAGCCGTCAGAGAAGTTTGGGAAGTGAGAGTGTTCCCGGTCCCTGAAATTACGTCCCATTCACAACCAGACATGCCAGGTACACATGGCGTCCTTCCCGAATGAAGAATCGGGATGGGTGCGTTGAGATGAACGACTGAAGGCAAGAACGACGACGTCACTCCCATGTTCTCCAGGGATCGTGGGTCGGGAGGGGTACAGATAGAAAGCCCACACTTCATCCCTCAGCACAATACTTCACCTGCTTCCTGCTCCATGGAGCCCCCAAAGGCTGCAGCCAGAATGAATGCCTGCCTCCCACAGCCCAGCCGTGCCCTCTGCTCCCTTCCTGCCGGGCGTGATGGGTGCCCCACTACCAGGCTAGCAGCAGTACCCTCTTAGCTCAAGAGACCTTGAGGATACAACCCCAATCCACAAAGGCAATCCCAGGTAAAACGGGGCATCCTCAGCATCCTCAGGGCTTGTCTTCAGTGCTTCCAGCCTGGCCATTCAGTGCCTTCCCCATTCCCAAACCTGGGGACATCATTCTGTCTCCCCCAGCTTCCAGCCTGGCCATTCAGTGCCCTTCCCATTCCCACACCTGGGGACATCATTCTGTCTCCCCCAGCTTCCAGCCTGGCCATTCAGTGCCCTTCCCATTCCCACACCTGGGGACATCATTCTGTCTCCCCCAGCATCCAACTCTACCCTCGGAGATAGTTGGAACTCATGCAGATTCATGTGTAAATGGCGACTAAGGCTTCCTATATGGCTTCTCTCAAAGCTACTTGCATTCCATAAGGGACAAGGCCCTGAGCAGGAAGAAGCTCCCAGTGCTATCACAATCCCCCATTGGAGGGGTCTTCAAGGTGCTCTAAACCACACCAAGGGTATTCCTCATCTACTGCTGTGCAGCACATTACCACACATCCAACCACTTAAAGCAGCACCTGTTTATTTCTCATGTCGCTCTGTGAATCTAGTCTGGGCACGGCTCATCTGGGTTATCTGCTCAGGATCTCACCAGGCTGAAACCAAGATAGCACTCAGGGCTGCAGTATCATCTAAGGTGTGGGGTCCTCCTTTGAGCTCACTCTTGTTGGCACAGTTCAGCTCCTGTAATCACAGGACTTAGGCCCTCAGTCACTAGAGGTTGCCTGCTGTCCCGTGGCACGTGGCTCTCTTCATCACCTGATAGCTCAGTCCTTCAAGGCCAACAGGACAGTGTCTGTCTGGGGCTTCAGCTTCATTTATAGGGCGGACCTGACTAGCTCAGACCCACCCTGGATGACGTTTCTTTTTATGAACTCAAAAGCAACCAAATGGCAACCTAATCATCAGAGTGATGTCCCATCACATTCGCTCATCCTGCCCATACTCAACGGAAGGGGATTATAGAGGATGTGTACACTGGCGTGAAGGGGACTTGAGGGCCATCTTAGAATTCTGCCCACGGTATGAACTGGACAGCTGCCCACTTGATCTTTACCAGATATGACCTCAGGCACCCATAAGAGACACAGACACTTGCCTCTGAGGCATTCTGTTCCTGCCCCTGCAGAAATACTATAGCCTGGCTCATTCTCCCTGCTGAACTTGGACACATTTCCTGAGGCCTGGAATAGGGACTTGACTTTGGTTCAGGCAGGAAAGTCCTCCCCCAGGGGAAACGTAGAGAGGAAGGGGACTGAGCACTAAACTGGCTCTTTTTCTCTCAATCTCTGTCAACCTTACTCAAGCACCACGAGAAACTGACAGATTTCCCATTTCTTTTTTTTTGAGATGGAGTCCCGCTCTGTCACCCAGGCTAGAGTACAGTGGCACAATCTCGGCTCACCATAACCTCCGCCTCCTGGGTTCACGCGATTCTCCTGCCTCAGCCTCCAGAGTAGCTGAGATTACAGGTGTGCGCCACTGTGCCTGGCTAACTTTTGTATTTTTTTTTTAGTAGAGACGGGGTTCTGCCATGCTGGCCAGGCTGGTCTTGAACTCCTGGCGCCTGGGTGATCCGCCCGCCTCGGCCTCCCGAAGTGCTGGGATTACAGGTGTGAGCTGCTGCACCCGGCCAGATTTCACATTTCTTTCTCATCTGGCCTATTTGTACTTCTAGGGAAACCCCAGGCCCAAGAACATTCTTCTGCAGCACGAGATGCTATTGGCAACACACAGAAGGTATGAAATCCATTGCTCGAGATGCTCCCAAAACGGTGATGGGTTCCAGGCCCTTGGCATGGTGTCATCCTGCTTGAAGGCAGAAGACTAGCTGATATAACCCTAGGAGACTCCGTCTACTACCGGGCGATGTCTATACTTCACCCAAGCAGGAAAGAAAACCAGATTTCACGTTCTTGAATCTGTCCCATCACATCCTCCACTAAACATCAAGCCCCACGAGGGCAGATTTTGCCCTCCACGGTCACTGCTGTCTCCTCCAACGCTTGGACAGTGCCCAGCACATAGTAGGTCTTCAATGAGTATGTACTGGACAAATTAATTCCAAAGTTATATTTGTGACTCTCAAAACCCTTCCTAATCTGACCCACAGCAGATGCTCTCCCGCTCCTGCCTCCTTTGTGTGTTCAGCTCACCCCACGGGTGCTCTTTCTACTCCTGTTTCTTTCTTTCTATCTGCAGCTTTGCACCTGGCCACAGATCTTCCCAGATCTCCCCAGGCTACAACGTAACTCTGCTGACTCCACTGCCTCTGGGGCACTAGCCCGTTCCCTTTATTCCTATTTTCCACTGAACCTCTAGGAACACTAGCCTCTGCCTCACTCCAGGAGCAAATGCCAGATACTGACCCAACTCTGCCCTGAGCCCTGTGCTCTGGCTCCTGCTGCCTCCCGTCTCAGTCAAGGGCGAGAGATGTTAAACTCATCCAAGGCCCATCAGCAGGGAAGAGGCAGATCTGGGGCTTGTCACTCAGCCCAAGGGCCTCCTCAGCCTCCCTCCCCACTCCTTTCTGCAGCTCTCCCCAGTGCTTATTACTCAGTCTATCCTGGGTGTCCTGTCTCCCTACAACCCCTTAATCCTGTATTCTGGCCACAAAACCCCTACGTGCACTGGTTACGAGTCACATGGGTGCCGCTGCCAGTCTCCACACACGTTTTAATTTTCCTCGTACACTCTGGACGTCGTCCGTAGCTTCTGTGGTGGACATCATCAGAGGAGCCCGTGACAGGTGATAATTAACAATGAATTAAGAGGGGAGCTGTGTCAGACAGAGCCTTCCGGGTCACTCTGCACAGGCTCCCCAGGTTGACACCTTCTCAGCCCTGTCTGCCTTCCCTCTGAGGACCCAGTGCCTTCTCTTCACTTCACTCTGCTTCGATGGGCCGGTGAGCAAGTGGCAAATACGGGGAATGGCCAGCCCCAGATCCCTGCTGATTGGCCTTGGATGAATTTCACATCTTTGACTTTCAGTTTTCATATCTATTAAGTGGGGCTTATCTTGCTGACCCTGTATCTTCTCGTGAGGATGAAATTATTTCATGTAGCACCCAGCACGGAGCAGGAGCTTACTACGTGGTAACTGCTTCATGGTGACAGTGATAATGATGGGAACGACTCTCAGGTCTCCATTCCTAGCCTTGATCCTAGACCCACATT